TGGGAAAAGTTTCATGAGTTCAAACTGGATGTTACAACGGTTCTCAAGGACAATGAGCACATCACTGCAGACAATTTCCTTGATATGGAGGATCCAGATTTGGTGGACGATGATCCAAATACTCCTCTTCCTGATCTTCAAGGACAAGGCAGTGCCGATCCTGAGTACAAGAACACTATTGAAAGTTTGAACATTGAGGACAAGCATATCATTTTGGAAACTGATGATGACAAATTGGTTGAGTGTACTCTCAAATGGATTAGTATGTGCAACAAGAATGTTCAGCAAAAGATCAAAGAGAGCTTTGTCAAAGAAGAGGCAAAACAGGAAGAAGAAGAAGAGGAGATTGTTGTCGAAGAGGAAGAAAAAGACACACAGGAGCCACATGTCCCAGCTGGAAGCTCTTGTGAGAAAGAGGAACCAGCTCCACCTGAATGCTCCTCAGAGAAGGAGGAATCAGGGGAGAAGAAGACAGACATTCAAGATGATGAAACAGCTCCTGAGGTGAAACCTGCACAAAGATTTTACTATGGTCAAGATATCACTGGAAACGAAGATGGTTCAGTTTTTCGAAAATTGAAGGATTGTTTTACAGATGGTTACCATGGTGAATGGGCAGGATTTTACAATCAAGGTTATCCAGCATCCTCGAAACATCGACATATGTTTTGGCATGTGAAGTACAGGAAGACTATGTCTCCACATCAAGATTATTAGTACCATCTTACAGATGAACAGTTGATGGCCGAGTACATTGCCAGACATAAAGATCAACAACCATCACAAGAACTAGATGATCTCAAGAACAACATCGAATATGGTTGTAGTGATCCAAGGATGCATCCTCTTCATCAAAACAAATCAGAAGAAGCCTCAAAAGAAGCAGAAAGGAGGATTGATGACGATTTTGGAAACCTGACAAAGGTACTTCAATCTTATGTTGAGGACCACAAGGTCTTGCCTTACTGTATGATCTTGCACGGCTTGGCTTACAGATATTTAGGTGGAGGCCTACTAGACCCAACATACAGAGATGATGAATTTCCATGCAGATCCCCTCCACAGATTACAATGATGTTTTGGAATTTGGGAAACTGGTGCAGAAACAGATTTGAAAAATGCCCTGTCCCAGAAAGATTTCAACAATTCATTCCACACAGTGATTACAGTATTGATGAAGAACATGAAAAATTTGATGAGAACAAGACCCAGTTCAACAATTACTTCATCAACGTCATCAAGAACTTTGGAGGACATCTTTTCATGAATTGCGAAGCTGGTTCACTATATCCTCACAGAGAAAGACTCGAAGAGGTGCAGTTTAAAACTTGCTTCAATGACTATCATGACTTGATGGTGGCAGCTCGCATAGGAAAGGACGGCAGTATCAGGCAAATTGCTGGATATCACACAGACGACAACGACACACGAGTTCGACAAGTCTCATGGGCAATCTTTGAAGTATCTTGGGGAAAGACAAAGGACCGGGATACAGATGAGATTATTGACTTGACACGAGCCAGGATGAAGATGACACGTGTGTGCGTTTATCATGTTGGACAAAAATATGCATCAGACTCTCCTGGTATTGTTGGTGAGTGTTTAGCTGTTATGGCTTTTGAGTGTGCTAGATATCAAGTTGACGTCATCGCAGGTGATGGAAACAAGGCATGCTATTACACCACACCAAAATCTCCAGGTGTCCCTACATATCAACACAGCCTAATCCAATTCTGGATTAACAGAATGATGGGTGCTGCAACACAAGCCCTACGCAAGAATTTTGATTCAACATACCCTCCAGTCAGGGTCAAACATTTCATTTCTTGCAGTTACCGGGATCTTGATTTTCTTGCAACGCACTTGGATGGCATTACAACAGTTTCATATACCGACGAGCTCGTGAAGAAGACATCGGGCAAAGGTGATTGTTGTATGCTGACAGTTGTTGAGTGGGGTCATTCACGTCTGACGTGTGAGGAATACCCTGAATACTATGAAGATGAAGATCAAATGAATCATGTGGGTGAATTTTACTTCAAGGTAAATGAAACTTGCTTACATGGTGATCACAACATCTTTACGGTTGCACCCAATGATCGTGATGCACACAATCCAATTCTTGTTCATTTAGATCCTTCTGATATGTCGTGGAATGAACGACATCATTACAAGCCAGCTAGCATGAAGATGAAGTATGCCGCTTCAAGAAAAGAGAGGCAGAAGGAGAAAAAGAGAAAGGCATATGAAGATCAAGCATCAACGTATCAGGGCAACACTGGTTGGGGTGGATCCTCATCTTCTTCGTCCAGACCATGGAGACAAAGTGATTGGCGATGAGTGAGTGTATACTTCTTTAAATGAAGATAACACAGCATGAGAGGCCGTGTACAGTTTTTCTGTGCATCAACTTATTTCCACAAGATGGCATATACTCTTTTAGATAGAGACAATGCCACAAGTGTCCGAACTTCAATTTAATGTAAAATAGATACTCTTGTAAATAGAGATACTATACACATTTATCTCCATGAAACTTTCTGCGAGCAGACCACTCCGAATGGAGCGAACTCCAAAACTTACCAACTTCGATTTCTGTCCATTGTTCGCTTGAATGAGCAACGTTGGAGATCCGCTATATCCGTTTATTTCGTGATTTGGTCAATTGTTTTTCGTATGACCGGAATTTCTGAATCTTGCGAACCCAACTTTTCAATTCGAACTTTCACCGGTAGAGCAAGGCATTTCGCCTGTGGAGAGACCGTGCGCGAAGCACCATTGGTCGCTACTGGAAAAATTAGCGAATCCGCTGTTCTTTTTCGGCATGTCTTTAGGACATTCGCTGCTTTCACGTGTTTTTCAATTCGAAGCCACTGCGTAACTCCGGTTTATTTTTGCTATTTGCCATCGTGTAGAAAAGACAGGAAGATACTCTTAATACCAATTGGGTACGACAAGGCGTAGTGCTCTACTCATTGCTTTTGAATTTGTGCCTGTGTTTTTGTTTCGACCTAATACCTACAGAGGTACATGCATGAGTATTGAGCACATTTATATGCGCCCTTCAAGGCTCAAGAGGTATATAGAGTAACCCTGTAGACAAGCACTGACCGGCAACAGGCTGAGAGTAAAAGAGTGCTGTCATTGGGGAAGACGCCTTAGCTGATCTTGAAGTAGACGCTAGGGCCCCTCTTCAAGCCCTCCCCCCAACCCCCCCCCTCCCGCTTTTTCTTAATTATTTAAATTCAAACTTGCACACTTTTCAATACACTAGTTTGATTCGACTATATTTATATTTATGTTGAAATTTATATATATATAATATACATATTTACATGTACATATTTACACACATATATATATATATGTATATGTATATATATATATATGTGTGCATTTATATATGCACTTATATATAATTATATATATATATATTACTTATATATATATGTATATTAGTATGTATATACATATAAATGTATATATATATATAAGTATGTATCTATAAGTATATATAAATAAATACACATACATATTTACTTATAGATATACAGACATACACACACATATATATATATTTTAATATGACATATTTGTGCTGGGATCTATACACAGCTTTGATCCCAAAATAAGCTATAAATAATCACGTAATTATAGCTATTTGTATGTACATGTTGTATCCCTAAATAACCCCTAACCCATCCCTAAATAGACCCTAAACAAATCCAGAAGAAACCATTAAGCCAACCCTAAATAAAACCTAAACCAAACCCCGCATATATATATATATTAAATACACGTGTAAACGCACTGATCTACATATACATATAGTCATGATTAGTCATGCATATATACCTCTTTACATCTACAATTTGTAGTTGCACATCGTGTATTTCCAAAAATAAATGAAAACTTCGGAGAAAAACCATGAAAACCATGTAGAAATCACTGAAAAACTCTGGAACCATAAATGAAAAAACAAGTGAAAACTGAATGAACACCATGCATAAATTGAAGAAAAACATAGAAAAAATGAAGAAAACCATTGAAAAATGGAAGAAAACCATGAAACAATCGAAGAAAACCATAGAACAATTGAAGAAAACCATGGAACAATAGAAGAAAACCATGGAACAATCGAAGAAAACCATAGAACAATTGAAGAAAACCATGGAACAAGTGAAGAAAACAATGGAAAAAATGAAGAAACCATGGAAAAATTGAAGAAAACTATGGAAAATTGAAGAAAACCATGGGAAAATTGAAGAAAACCATGGGAAAATTGAAGAAAACCATGAGACAATCGAAGAAAACAATGGAACAATTGAAGAAAACGAAAAATTGAAGAAAACCATGCAAATCATGGACAAACCAATGAAAACGATGGAAAACTCGATAGAAACAATTGAAAAAAAACCTGAAAGCAGTCGAAAAATTGATGAATAGTGCGAATGAGAGATTTTAGCTACAAAATGCAGCAAATGAGTGATTTGAGTTGCAAAATCCAAGGAAGGGAGCTTGGACGACCCCCCCCCCCAAAAAAAAAACATCCCCCCCCAAAAAAAAAATCAAAAAAATGCGCACCCAATAAAAAATGAAGGAAAACTAACTAATGGAAAATGAAAAACAATTGGAAAATAAAGGAGAACTAAAAAAAATGAAGGACAACTAGTGGAAAATGAAAGAAAACTAATGGAAAATGAAGGCAAACTCGTGGAAAATGAAGGCAAACTCGTGGAAAATGAAGGAAAACTAATGGAAAATGAAGGAAAACTAATGGAAAATGAAGGAAAACCAAGGGAAAATGAAGGAAAACAGAAAATGAATGAAAACTAATGGAGAATGAAGGGGAAACTAATAGAAAATGAAGGCAAACTAGTAGAAAATGAATGAAAACTAATAGAAAACTATTAGAGAATGAAGGATAACTAATGGAAAATGGAGGAACACTAATAGCAAACCAAAAACAAAAAAGATCCTAAAAAAACAAAAAAAATCTTTCAAAAAATCTTCACCCTTGGGAAACTGCCGACCAACACAACGAGCCTTTCTTGTCGATGAGGCTGATCGGTGGAAAGCAGCAACTCAGTGATCTGCGCGTAGAGCTCCTTCAGGAAGATGGGGACCTTGTCCAGGTAGAGGAGGAAGTATAGTCCATTCAGGCTCTTCTCCAAATTGTCGTTCTCCCCTGATCCAACTCCGGCTGCTGGTTGAGGTAGTCCTGGTCGATTCTGAAGTCGAAGCTTTGAGGCGTCCAAACGCATGATACTCTCTCAAGCACGCAGGGCACGCCGTAGTGTCGAACAGCCAACGGAGACATGAAATCTCGCCTTGGCACCGAAATATATGTGCACCTTCGCCGCCTCTGCTCCGAAAAGCTACGCGGCACTGCATGCCTCCATATCTCGTTACCTCCTCAGTCTTGCCCGGCTGGTGCTCAAACTCCTCAGGAACCTGTATGATCTGCTCCTCCTGCATGAGGTTTAAGAAATCAGCAAAGGTGGTACGGATCAGTAGGGCATTCTGGCGCTGCAGTCCGGAATGAAGGAAGGCCCTTTTGATAAGCCCTTTCCAGCAAGGCTGATGATATCTCCAAAGGTACCTCCAGGGTTCAAGAGCCATGCTTGGATCCGGTAGGTGAGTGCTGTGATGAATCTGTTGCCAAAGCCAAAGCAGATCATCAGCCACCAGTCGACACCATTCTGTATCCTGGTGCAGCAACCTCCAGGAGAGCGTGTGCTCACATCGGTGGAGGGTTCCTAGATATCGCAGACGCGTTCTTCGCAAGAGCTCCGAGGGCGTAGGCATCTCAAGGGCCACGCAGATCTCCTCATCGGTACTAGCACAGTCAGGGGGCAACAAAAGGAGCCTCTTGTACAACTTCATGATCGATGTATGCAGGAGGCACTTGGATTTCTGTGATCCCTCAAGAACCAAGACTCGCTGCCGTAGAGGAGTCGGCTCAGAACCAGGGACTGAAACAGCTGCACCCTCTTGTGTAGCGAAAGGCATCGATTTTGAAAAATGGTGCGGCGATGCGCATTGAAAGTTTGATGTGCCATTGCAACTCTGCGCCTCATCTCCTTGCGGTGATCACCACTGTGATGTAGGACGCCCCCAAGATGGACGTACTCCCCCACGATGGAGACCTGGTGCGTGTCGTGCTCCGCAATGATGGTCAGGGTGCCAGGGCTTGTAGGACCGAAGTGTTGGGTTTTGAGCTTCCTCACTCCAGGTCCTCTCAATGCAAATAGCAATTCAGTCTTCCCTTTCCGTAAGTTCGGTGTCATCGCGTGCTCTGTGAGGGTGTCTAAGAGGAGAGATGACACGACACCTGCTTTCCGCACCGCCGCAGCCGCTGACTCCGCCTGGATCGTGACGCAAAGATCATCCATCCATACCGGTCCTGAGTAGACCTCGGTGGTGTCTGCCTCCCTTATCATACGCCCAAATGGATCGAAGCAGCTATCAACTCCAATGAGCTCCTGCAGACCATGTTCTTCCAATGTGTGTTGGAATACTTTCAGCACCCGAGCAAAGAGAAAAGTGAAAACCACGTCAGCGAACGAGTCGCCCGGTCGAGATCCTGCCGTTGTACGGCAAATGTCTTGCTGTCCTGGTACTTGAAAGAAGGTATCCAAATGGATGGCACGGAGAACCCTCTGGGCTGGCTCAGGCATGCCCGCCTGCTGCACCGCAGACTCATCGACCAAATGTTGTTGAAGTTGGTGGAGAATGTCGGTGGGCATGTTCAAGCGGGCTGCAGTCTTGGCAATCTCTTCGTCGCAGAAGGAGGTGCCCAGGGCAAGGGGCCTCAGGACCCGATAGAACGCTTCCACAAGATCAACCATCAGCAAGATCACGGACTGATTCTTGTATAGGCAGCTGCTCGCATGCAGGCCCTAGCTTCATGAAGGCCTAGGGTCACTGGCACCCGTCTTTTCCCTCCCAGTTGTGAGCGCGTCATGTAGCTCTCCAAAAGGTCCGGTTGAGTCTGGCAAATGGTTCTGTGCAGGGTTTTCCCAATGTGTGAGCTCACCAGGAGGCTCCTGCAGGCCTTGGGGTCCGTCAATGCTCCCTTGCCCTTGTGTGCTGGGGTCAAAGTGCCTGACCGTGCACCGCCAGCTTCAAGAGTGTGCCATAAGTCTGCCTTGCAAGTTCAGTGGGGCAGGCATTGCACAGCTCTGAGGGCAACTGATCCAAACCGCTCAACTGTCGGCTGGGAACTCTACGATGCGCAATCTCAAGGTCAGTCAACGTGGGGAGCACTGCGAGGCTATAGTCCAGGATCGGCTGCCTCAATTCGGTCAGGTTGTCCCGCCAAATGGTCCACCGATGATCCTCCGACATTCTGATGCCGCCCTCCATGTCACCAAAGAAACTGATCCATCTGGAAAGAAGCTGAGCAGGGTAAGCACAAATATCACCTTGTTCATCACAGAGCATAGGCAAAGTCTTGCCTGACATGTTTCATGTTGGCGGGGCCCATGTGTTCCTTGATGACCTTCAGAACTTCATTGGCGGGCGCCGTAGATGGTAGGCTCTCCAAAGCAGAGGTCAGTGCAGAACGCCTGGCTTGTGGAAGACGATGCTTCATGCGCAGAGTAAACTGTGATAGTTTGGCCGTGAAGTTCAATCTCCAACAAATAAGCTAAGTATTGTAGTTGAACCAGCAGGCCGAGATGTCGATGTCATTGGTAGTGGAGCTCTTCCGTCTGCGCCATGCCTCAAAAACTGCCGAGAGCCATTCACGTTTGCTTCTCCGGCCCAGGGCATGAAGTTGTCGCTTTGCTGCGCTCTTCTGGCGGCGGAAGTCCCAAATCTCAGGCGTGATGAAGGACTTCTTGGGCCCGTTGTGTCTCTTCGGACATTGTTGGGCAAGGCCGCGATGCAAGGCGTGGTTGCAGTCATCGAAATGTGCTGCAATGTCCACTTGCCAATGAGGTGGCTGCATGGTAGCTATAGCTCCCTCTATGCACTCCCGATTGATTTGGTTGCGGTGGAAGGAAATCTTCTCTTTGCGCTTGTAGTCAGTCTGCGGGGCACTGAAATACTCCTCCCAGCCCATTTGAAGTGCCACCAAAACATGATCAAAGTCACCATTATGGAGGTCAAAGTCCGGCACTGTGGTGGAGAAAGAGCACTGATCCAAGAGGTCTACCGGGATGCACACAAAGTCGATGCAGTGTTCCGTCAAACCAGTCAGAGCTCTCCAAGTCGTTGTAGGACCCTGATGGCATGGAAACGTGCATGGAAGACACAGCTGGAACTCCTCAAGAAAATGCCGAAAAAAGGGTGTGCTCTTCGAAATATCAAAACCATGTTGACCCACAATCTGTCCGTCACATGAACCTGGTGCTGCGTTCGCATCCATCATGACTCATGACAAAGAGTGGGGACCCATCATGCATGTGATGGAGGAGCTCCACCAATCTGTTCTGGCCTCAAGTGTTCGGCCGCTCTGCGGAGCATGTGCGACCACCAGAGTGGCTTTCCAGGCATAGTGATCAATCCTCATTAATCAAGGCGCGTGGGTCCTGATGAAGAACGACAACATCCTGCTTGGAGATCATGATCGGTGTGTGGCCATCATAGCCAATGGGCTGCTGGAGGTTGAGCCAAAGTTCTACACCCCAATGCCCTCCATCTGCGCCTGTTCCAAGTCTATATATATCATCAACCAAACTGCAAGTCGCAGGGCATCTGGTTTCTTGAATGCCAAGGAAATTGAATGATGGTGGCCGCTGTGGTGGTAGTTCTGGTGGTGTGGCATCAAAGAAGGCAGCATGAAAGCTAGGAAGGCTTGGGTCCTCCGCCAAAATCCACCACAGATGCGGCAAGGTCGTCCTCCATCGTCGCATGTCAACCGCTTGTCTTGGCAAGTAGAAGCTTTTCAATCTCTCTTGCTTCGCCAGCAAATCCACGAGATCGTTCCATGGGTCCCCACTATGCCCACGGACGTGGGAAGTAGAAAGGTGGTCCTTGCCGATGGTGGACTCAAGCGCTTGGAAAGCAGCCCTCAAAAGCCGGAAGGACAAAGAGTGCTCACTGGCTCCATGAAGACCACTTCCTTGGTATTCTGACGTAATAGAGTCAGTACAGAACGTGGTCGGCACGTTGTGGTTCTGCGCAATTCTCCACAAAGCGCATCAGAAAAGTGCCTCTCTTTCGCTAGTTTCACTTCCGATCTTGTCTGCTCCTATGTGGTGCGCAGTCTGATCGTCAAAGAGGACAGGCTGTGCACTCCATCCCACAAAGCTAACCTTGGGATGTTCCGCATGGGTGTATTCCTCTGCGAGGACCAAGAAGGCCCATGTGTCCCCTTTGCCTCTTTCTTCAGCTCTGCGAGGTGGACACCGTCGTAACGATATAAATTATAGACAAGGATAAACACATAAAACTATAAACATATACATGTATAAACAAAATCCATATATCAACGTAGCAGAAACAACAATATACCAACATATGAAAATGTATCAATATATATATAATTATATATATACAGTACTTACCGTTGTTATAGAAGATATTCGGGAATTATCGGAGAACCGATCTTCTATTTGAAACTGGTTTAGACGCGCAGAAAAATCTATTTCAAATAGAAGATAAATTAATTCAATGACCCAAAATGGTAGAACATCCGGGATGCTGGAGGTACTTTGGCACTCTCCGCGACCATGGTCCCGGGAGGGTCCAAACTAATATTTTCTGTTTAAAACCATTTAGACCAAAACCAAAAGCACAAACTTGGTGGATCATCCAACCGAATATCTTCTATTTAAAAAATAGTTTGTCGCACAATCTTGTTCTGAGAATTTGGGGTTGGTATAATGAATATCTTCTATTTGACATGGTCTTTTCCGCTTCCCCATTGGTTGTCAGGCAATATCTTCTATTTGAAAACGGATTTCCGTGGTTTTTTGGGTTTGTGATGGGAGCCTTTGGAAAATAGTGCCAATATCTTCTATTTGAAAACGGAATTTCCGTGGTTTTTTGGGCTTGTGATGGGAACCTTTGGAAAATAATGCCAATATCTTTTTTTTGAAAACGGGATTTCCGTGTTTTTTTGGGCTTGTGATGGGAAACTCTGGAAAATAATGCCAATATCTTCTTATTTGAAAACAGGATTTCCGTTGTTTTTTTGGCTTGTGATGGGAACCTCTGGAAAATAATGCCAGTATCTTCTGTTTGAAAACAAGATTTCCGTGTTTTGGTGATGGGAGCCTTTGGAAAATAATGCCAATATCTTCTATTTGAAAACGGAATTTCCGTGGTTTTTTTGGGCTTGTGATGGGCAACTCTGGAAAAAATGCCAATATCTCCTATTTGAAAATGGGATTCCCCTGGGTTTTTTGGTTTGTAATGGGAACCTCTGGAAAATAATGCCAATATCTTCTATTTGAATACGGAATTTCCGTGTTTTTTTGGGCTTGTGATGGGAACCTCTGGAAAATAATGCCAATATCTTTTTTTTGAAAACGGGATTTCCGTGTTTTTTTGTTTTTGGCTTGTGATGGGAACCTCTGGAAAATCATGCCAATATCTTCTATTTGAAAACGGGATTTATTTCTGTGGTTTTTTGAGCTTGTGATGGGAAACTCTGGAAATAATGCCAGCATCTTCTATTCGAAAACGGGATTTCCGTTGTTTTTTTTCGGCTTGTGATGGGAACCATTGGATATAATGCAAATATCTCCTGTTTGAAAACGGAAGTTCCGTGGTTTTTTGAGCTTGTGACGGGAACCTCATGTGAAAACGGAATGTCGGTTATTTTTTTGGACTTGTGATGGGAGCCTTTGGAAAATAATGCCAATATTTTCTAGTTGAAAACAGAATTTCCGTGGTTTTTTCGGCTTTTGATGGGAACCTCTGGAAAATAGTGCCAATATCTTCTTATTTGAAAACTGGATTCCCGTTGTTTTTGGCTTGTGATGGGAACCTCTGGAAAATAATGCCAGTATCTTCTGTTTGAAAACAGGATTTCCGTGCTTTTGTGATGGGAGCCTTTGGAAAATAATGCCAATATCTTCTATTTGAAAACGGGATTCCGTGTTTTTTTGGGCTTGTGATGGGAACCTGGAAAATAATTCCAATATCTTCTATTTGAAAACGGAATTTCCGTAGTTTGTTGTGCTTGTGATGGAACCTCTGGAAAATAATGCCAATATCTTCTATTTGAAAACGGGATTTCCCTGGTTTTTTGGCTTGTGATGGGAACCTCTGGAAAATAATGCAAGTATTTTCTATTTGAAAGCAGGATTTCCGTTGTTTTTTGGGCTTGTGATGGGAAACTCTGGAAAATAATGCCAATATCTTCTATTTGAAAACAGGATTTCCGTTCTTTTTTTGTTTTTGGCTTGTGATGGGAACATCTGGAAAATAATGCCAATATTTTCTCTTTGAATACGGAATTTCCGTGGTTTTTTTGGCTTGTGATGGGAACATCTGGAAAATAATGCCAATATCTTCTATTTGAAAACGGAATTTCCGTGGTTTTTTGGGCTTGTGATGGGAACCTCTGGAAAATAATGCCAATATCTTCTATTTGAAAACGGAATTTCCGTGGTTTTTTGGGCTTGTGATGGGAACCTCTGGAAAATAATGCCAATATCTTCTATTTGAAAACGGGATTGAAGCGGCCGGAGGTACTTTTGCACTCCCCTCTTCGGGGGGTCACCCGGGTCTGGGCGTCAATGTTCTATTGTTTTTACATTAGTGCCCTTCAACAATCACAAAAAATGACAGTGGGACAAAAGATTTTCAAATAAACGATATTGCAAACATCATCCAAATGTTGAGGGTTGCAAAGTGCAAAAGTAGCTCAAAAGACCAAAAATCCAACAGTAACCCGCTCAACATTGGGATGATCTTTGCAATATCTTCTATTTGAAAATTGTTTTTCATGCATTTGAGATCTGTCGAACTCATGGGGTTACAAACGAATATCTTCTATTTGAAAACAATTTGGTGGAACTCCCTGGATTCCTTCATGAAATGGTATCTTCTATTTGAAACGTGTTTTTCAGTATTCATCGAATATCTTCTATTTAAAAAACAATAGCATTTCAGATTATCTTCTATTTGAAAAGTGGTTTGAATCACCATCCCTCAATCAAACAAGCTAAAAAACCAATGGTTTTTGAACAGTTTTTCACGATTCATTCCTCCGGGGCCAGTACGTGCTGCCGATTCCCAAAGAGGAATAAGGTCTCGCTCAAACCATGGCAAATCCTGCATAGTGGCTGTGGTGGCAAAGGTCAAAGCAGGATCCTCATGCTGCAAGTACTGCATGCGCACAGCTTCGATCTCCTCCCAGCGATGGTGCGTTGTCTTTCTGCCACGACTGGTACTTCTCATCGAGGTTTGAAGCAGAGATGTTGTGGATGAGCTGGATGATGAATAGCCTCCTTCTGTCGAGGAGTCAATCTCCGACACCACGAGGAAGTGCGCGGGCATGGGCTCAAGGTCGTCATCAACATTGGAGACCCAATAGAAGGCTTCCAGTTCAACTGGTGCAATGGCCATTTGGAGCATTCTGGCAATGCACCTTGTTGGAACATTTCGCATCTCTGTCAGCGGCGGTGGCAGCGCGATACGAATGTAATCACCATGATAAAGCCGAACATAAAGACCAGCATCTTGGCTAACAATGATGCCGTTATGCCAGACCAAGCAGGTATCCTGCACAAACTGTGCATAGAGGAAGACATCCATCACCCTCAGGATTTGGTGTCTGGACAACACTGTGTGCACATATATTGGACATCTCACAGGCTCCATCTGCCAGCTCGGCGCCGCTGGGTGGAATTCAACATCCACGAGGACAAAGGCTAACCTCGAATGTCCTGGAAGATCTGTGTCATGCTGAGCCAGCAGGACTTGTAGTCCTTGGTCATGGAGATCACGAGGTGGATGGGGAACACGATTCCACATTGAAGTGAGCAATATTGGCCACATTACGGCGGGCCACCCGCTGGCTGAAAGTGTTGACATGCCCTTCTGCAGGCTGTGCATGTACAGAGAAGACAACGGAATAGCTCCAGTATGGATCCTCCTGTGTCGACTCCGTGTCAGTCTCCACTGCCTCCTCTTCCATGGGAAGTTCATCCCCTTGTAGAGCTGCTTCACGATGATCCGCCACCGCATGTGGTGGAGTAGGTCCCAAACCTCGGCGCGCGCGTGTGTGTGTGTGTCCCGGCCGCCATGAAAGAACTGTAGTCATCCTCATCGTCAGGCTCCGGGTGTACTTCGACAACCAAGGAGGTATACATAGACGTGGGATGCGGTCTGTCCTCTGAAAGAGGATGATGGCCCAGGCGTGAGGAACAAACACGATGTACACATTGGGCCCGTGCTGGGACCAAAGCAATCGCTTCATTAGAGGTGAGTGTGGGTGGCAACACCTGCGCCGAGTGGATGATGCATCATGTGAGGAGCTTCTGAAGATGCCAGATGCAATCCCAACCGACAAAGCTGGATGTATGGCCTGGCAAAGAATCAGGTGTGCCACATGTCCTTCAAAAATCGTCGCTGGATGTGGAGTAACAACGCCAATATCCACAGGAAGATCTTGTTGAAGATGATCATGCCATGTCTCTCTGATGATGTCAAACCAGTCATGCCAATGTTGATCAAATCGAAGAGCACGAGGAACATGACATTGTTGTAGTCGATTCGCATGGAGATACCATGAGCTGACATAGATGACGTTGCCTTCTTCGAGACATTCAATCATGCCATGCCGTTCATGTAATAATCTCAATTGTGTCCACCAAGATGGTAAAGCCCTTGGATCTAAATGCCCAAAACGGGTTGGATTGTCATTTGCACCTTCTGATGACCTCTGATATGTAGGTGGCTCAACTTCTGCATGAGGATGCTGGCGTAGTGCAGAAGGGATTTCGTGGATCTCATCATGAGGTAGTGGCATCGGCTCTACCAGAGCACGATCATCCTGGGTGCTTTTCCTGGTACTTGATGAACGTAGTCTCCAAGGTTTGTCCGCCCATCGGTGGAGAAATTCATGCAAAATTGTAGTTGAAAAAGATTTGATCTCATCCTCAAGTCCAAAGAAAATCTGAACTTCTTCACAAAACCGACACTGTTTCTTGGTTCTCCCAGGATCACGGCAAACTTTGAGCTCTCCAGGAACATGCGAGGCTGTGGCAAAACCCAGCACAAAAGCCTCATCAAGAGCATCAGTAGCAGCCTGCCACTCAGATACAAGCCAAGACTTTGTAGTGGCACTGTGAGACCATTTCATGAGGCATGAAGACATCGCTTCATGCTGGTATAGCCCATAGTCAACCTCCCTTTGGTCTATTGACTGGGCTGCGCAAAATGCTCCGAGGGTCCAGACTTTGATGCATCTCCGAATCCGTCCGTGGATTGAAGTCTGGGCCTTTTGCATGCGTTCTCCTCGACTGCTATCTCCGCTTTGCTTCTCAGAGACTCCAGGTTCTGCAACATGAAACTCATGCCCTCCTTGAGGACCTGGCCCTTGTTGTCGATCAGCTCCTGATTCTCGTCATCGGAGATCTCCACAGCCATGTCTGATCTGCCATCCTGTTCGGACTCTTCGATGTCTTTGGCCTCTTTCTTCGAAGCCTCGGGGCCTTCTTGAGCTTGCTTGACGGCCTCCGTAGCATTGAGTACCTGTTGAGCAAGGTCGGTGTCCTGCTTCTCGAAGTCCTGAGAAAACTGCTTCCACTTGTCCACGCTGGCGTCCAGATAATTCTTCCAGACTCTGTGTAGGTTGAGTCTGGACGATCTCGCCTCCTGTAAAGCCGTCTTGGCTTTGCCTAACTTTGTATACTGCTGAGTGGAGGAACTTCGTGATGTCTTGCGACTGCACCTTGTGGTTCTCGTGTAGAAGTGTTTGCAGTTCCGATGGCAAGTTGGTCTCGTTCTTCTTCATGACAGCAACCAAGACTCAAAGCTGTTGTTCGGCCTGTGATGGCGCCGATGTCGAAGTGGACGGCGTGCTCTGCGATTGGGATCTGCTCCAAGGGGCTTCCGGCAAAGGTGGAGCCTGGAATTGCTGCCACTCCTGTCCCTTCTTGTCCTTGCCCTTGTGCTTCTTGCCCTGGCCCTTGCCTCGATTGCGTTGCTTCTTCGTCCCCTGTGGTGTCTGGGAACGTTGGCTGCTTCGAGGAGACTGCGATGGTCCTCTGCTATCGTGCCATGACCTTTGTGCCCACGGCTGCCAGTGTGCATAGGTAGGATCCGGTTGATCTGACGATCTTGTGGTTGAACAAGCTTGTAGGATCCATCTAGTGCTTCTGCCTTCCGGGAGAGTCGTACTGAAATTTTATTTTAAAATTCCATTTTTGCAATCATGCTTTCTCAATGATCAATATTCCTCATCATTCCATGTCATTGGCAAGCAGATGAAAATTAAATACTGGCGCTTAGCTCCGGAGGAGCTAAGCACATGTCAGACTGAAGCAGAACATATGTAGGGATGGCATCCCTCCAAAAATTGCGCCGCCGTCCGGAGGAGCTAAGCGCAAGTATTTTCTAACCAGTGCCCAAGGCTTGTTAAGAAATGTTACTTTACAATCTTTACAATTCCATTTGAGGGGTTGGATCGCTATCCCAGGGTTTCCAAGCAAAAAAAAATGGAATTCGACAGCTTGGTTTTGTCCCCCCCCGCCCTCCCCCTCTATAGGGGTAGGGATCTTCTGCCCAATGTCGACCACATTGTCCGCCGTATGTTGCTGCCGCCTTGTTCAATCTCCGACAATAACGGCATTTCCATGGGGTCTGTCTGACTCTCCACTGCTCCATTGCTGCAGAAACTTTGCGATGAAAGTTCCAATCCACAGAGTGGTGGCGTGAGAGCGTGTCCTTGATGTGCTTCAATTCCGGAACAGTGAGATGAAGTCGGCCTTTTCGAAAAAGGTGCCAACGTAGCCTTGCCAGAGAGCGCTGTCTTCGCGTGCGACTTCGCTTGGAAGGAGTGATGCACAATGATCAGTCACAAAGTCCAGAAATGTGAGGTACAGGACAAAGACCAACAACATAAAGAACGCAAACTGGACGATGGGATCAAAATCGAGGACCAGGTCAAACTCGAAGATGTAGGCCACCGGGAAATGGGCCAATTAAATGGCAGCCAGTCCATCCAGGTTTGCGGAGCTGGGACTCCAACAGTGTGGAACTGTCCAAGAAGAGGAGAATCGGGATAGACCAAGGACAGGAGCAAACGTGATGGAGGTCAGCTCTGTACCTCCAGAGCACAAGATGTGAAGGCGCTCACCACCAGCGCCCGCGGCAAACGCTCCAATTGTTCGTTGCCGCTAAGGTCAAACGGCAGGCAGAGAACGGTCAGGGGTCCCTGCTCAGCCGAAACCTTCATGTACACACATATATATATATATATTTACAATGTATATCAAAGGCAAGTCGGGATTCGTGCAACGAACATCGGGATTTAAGCCACGAAGCTGGCCTTAACCGACAAGACGAGGATTAGCCAACAAAAACTAGGCTTATGAATAGAGCTCGGCTGTGATCCTTCGGTATTTTCAGCAGGGAACTATTCGACCCAAGCTTTGAATTCGTGCTCAACCAGCAGAGCATAGTAACACCAAGCCTTGACCCTTGAATTATCCACATATGGGGTCAAATTGCATGGCCGTGTCTGAAAATTTGGTACATCTCCTACTAGGTTCTGGTTCTATAGCCGGCTGTCAGCGTAACAACGTAACATGATCACACCTACTACGCAACAGTCTGAGTGTCTACCAATTGCCATGAACATTGAGATGCCCACCCCAGACCCACCCCGATGTGGCGAAAGTTGTCAAACAACACGGCAGTCTGTGGTATGGTGCCAACCACAAGTTACATTTTGATAGATTTTGACAGCGAAGTCAGTTAGGTGTAAAAAACCATGGATTTAATGGATTTCGAAAGAGTTTGATAGATAAACCCAAGGCCGCCATGTGGTTTTCATCTTGGTGGCCACCGAGGCACCACCAAGAAGGACACCAAGAAGGTTGACAAAGCCGTGAAAACTCCAGAGTCGCGGCGTAGCTCGCTTTGAACATGGGGGATACAGTATGGTAGAATACCAGTTGGATCATAATGTTCCCATATAGTCGAAGGAAGTTTAGAAGTCAAACTTCCGACAATGTGGACAGATGAAAAGCAGAGCAGGGCAGAGGCAGAGAGAAGAGAAAGATCAGAAGAGAGAAGAGTAGAAGAGAAAGAGCCAGAAGAAAGAAGATGCAGATGCGCAAAAAGGTGGACAAGTCGCGAAACACTGTGTTTTTCCAATGATTTGAGGCTCCGGAGGGTCGAAAAGTAGGCTCGCTAAAGCGGCGGGTGCGGAGCCAGCTGGCCAGATGAGAGATGAAAAATTGCACGCCGTTGTGGCGCGAAGCACATTTGCAAGTCAAAATGTACAAAACACACCACGTTCGGACCACTTTTGGAAGTTCAGATGTCGAAAAAATGCACGCCGTTGTGGCGCGAAGCACATTTCCAAATGTACAAGACACACCATTCTCGACCACTTTTGGAAGTTGAGATGTCGAAAAAGTGCACGCCGTTGTCGCGCGAAGCACATTTCGAAGTCAAAATGTACAAAACACACCATGTACGGACCACTTTTGGAAGTTCCGATGTGGAAAAAGTGCACGCCGTTGTGGCGCAAAGCACATTTCGAAGTGAACATGTTAAAAAAGAACCAGGGGTTCGGACCACTTTTGGAGGTTCAGATGTCGCTTCGCTTTGCTTCACTACAATACACTACATTACACTACACATCACTACACTACATTACACTACATTACACTACACTACACTCCACAACACTACAACTACAACTACACAACTACACCACTACACAACTACACTCCACTACACTCCACTACACTCCACTACACTACATTACACTACACTACATTACACTACACTACACTACCTTCCACTACACTTCACTACATTACACTACACTACACTCCACTACACAACAACTACAGCTACAACTACAACTACACAACTACACTCCACTACACTCCACTACACTAAAGTACACTACACTACACTACATTACACTACACTACACTCCACTACACTACATTACACTACACTCCACAACACTACAACTACAACTACACAACTACACAACTGCACTGCACTACACTCCACTACACTCCACTACACTAAACTAGACTACACTACACTACATTACACTACACTACACTACACTCCAGTACACTACACTACTTTACACTACACTCCACTACTCTCCACTACACTTCACTACATTACACTACACTACTACACTACACTCCACTACATCACAACTACAACTACAACTACAGAACTACACTCCACTAGACTCCACTACACTCCACTACACTCCACTACACTGCATTACACTACACTACACTACGTTACACTACACTACCTTCCACAACACTTCACTACATTACATTACACTACACTACACTCCACTACACTACAACTACACCTACGACTACACAACTACACTCCACTACACGAAATTACACTACACTACACTACATTACACTACACTACACTACATTACACTACACTCCACTACACTATACTACATTACACTACACCACATTACACTGAATGACACTGCTCCACAGATAGACAGGTAGACAGATAGACAGACAGACAGATAGATAAATAGATCGATAGATAGACAGATAGACAGGTAGACAGCTAGACAGATAGACAGATGAAAGAGAGAGAGAGAGAGAGATAGATAGATAGATAGATATAGATAGATAGATAGATAGATATAGATAGATAGATAGATAGATAGATAGATAGATAGATAGATAGGATGGATGGATGGATAGATAGATAGATAGATAGATAGATAGGATGGATAGATAGATAGATAGATAGATAGATAGATAGATAGATAGGTCATTAGATGAAAGAGAGAGAGATAGATAGATCGATAGATAGATTGATACATAGAAGATAGATAGGTAGGTAGGTAGGTAGATAGTCAGAGAAAGAGAGAGAAAGAGAGGAGACATCAAGCACCTTTCGGTCCATCAGTGGATTCGCTCTGCCATCCCTGATTCACAGCAACCAACCTCTCCTATAGGTTTCCTATTTTTGAAACTTCCGCCACCGCCTTGTGCGGTACTACTGGTATTATAGTATATTATAGTATGGTAAAATCATGTTCCCATATTGAGTATAGCCCTGATTAAAAGAAAACACATCCCTGAAATGACTTGGATGTTCATCCCGGACGTCAGTCGTAAGTGGTTTATTTTGCGTCAGGCCATCGGAACATCACGAGCCACGAAGCGACAAGTAAACAAACGGGAATTGAAGCAGCTGCGGAACGTGCAACTTTATCAATTGTCTGGTATATAACCTTTAAACCAACTAGGAAGTGTGTTTTTCCTGGCGGGAACAAATTCACGTTTCTCTCTGGAAGTTCTACTCGATGGAAACATCATATTTCCCATCAAAGCTGCCAGAATTTGGACTTGGGGTATCCCAGATGTTGAGACAAATCCAGATGCAGTGAGAGCAACTGTGGGGAGGTTTTTGTGGACGTTTCACGTGAAGATCCAGAAGTCTTGGGAGCACATGCGTTCACCTAGACTCTGTAGCGCTCTCTGTCTTCTTGTTCGGAAGATAGGTGGAATGTACCCAAGTTGGCCATTACATATCAGGGGAAATGCATGGTTTTCCGCCCAAGTCTCAGGTACCAAACCCATTTTGAAAGGGTCTTCAAACATCCAACAGACATGTTGTTGAGCCAGCATGGTGATGTTTCCGGTGCAGTCCGCAGTGCAGATTATTTTCAAGAACCATATTCTATATTTAAATCGATCATTACATTCCCATTACATTCCCATTGTATCGCCATTTTTGTTCCTTAAGTCACCGTTAAATCACCATGACCCCCCCTCTGGTGATTAATCACCATCACCCTCCGGAAATCAAATGTGGCGGCTGGAAAATCCACCAGTGATGTTTCCCAGCCATACACTTCATCCAACAAATTATGGTTTTTCTGAGTTCTGGCCCAAACTTCCTTCCAGCGGGGAGAACGGACCCTGCGAAACGTTTGCGGATTTGGCCCTACTTTCGATTTGCTGCCATGGATGGATTGACACCCAACTGGTCTAGTCCTGTGAAGGGGCAGAGCACTAGCTTGGTTGCTAGCATGGTTACCTTTGACCGGGAGCATAGAAATCATCTGATGAGTGCCACTGTTGGTAAGCAGCTGTTCACTTTCCATGGTCGTTTGCCTTCTGACATGCTGACTTACAGCCTGCTCAATGTGGAGGTGTGGGACCCGATGCCACGACCTGTGTTGTTTGGGGGTACTGATTCCCATATCCTTTACCATGGTTGTTGCGACTGGGATTCCTTACATGAGAATATCGAGGTTTGCTTTGGTTTGGGAGGCCTTGGCCTGGGAGGCCTTTCATCAGGGTTCCTCCCCAAAGTTGCGTGTGATGTCAACCCCCTGATGCTTGAGCTCTATGGTGCCGCTTTTGGTATACCTTGTGTTTGTGGGGATATCTGTGATGTTGGGACCATTGCAAAGATCTGGGATGCCTGTCCTCGATCAACATGCCTCAGTGCAGGAATCGCCTGCCAACCTTACAGTGCGCTAGGGGATGGTAGGAGTTCACAGGACCCAAGAAGCTCGAGCCTGCCTGGCACTCTTGCTGCCGCCCACTATTTGCGTTCAGTTGCTGTGATTATGGAATGTGTCCAACCGGCACAAACAGACCCGTGTGTAGTCCAGCAGTTGAACACCTTTTGCAAAGCAACAGGTTTCTACAAGTCCGAAGTCTTGTTGCAGCTGAGTAATGCATGGCCATGCTCTAGGAACCGATGGTGGTGTGTGCTGACTGCCCCTTCTTTGGGACCCATTAACCTGAAGGCACTCCCCATGTTCCAGGATGTCACCAAAATTAAATTTGCCATGTTGTTCCAACCATCACGCCGTGGCCGCAGGAACAAGAAGATGTGCTTCGACTCCAAGCACATGAAATTGAAGCCTTTCAGGTGGATGATTTAGGCTCGTCACCGTACTTGTTGGACTGCCAGGGTGTGTTGCCATGCCCCCTACATTCGTGGGGATCACAGTTGCGTCCATGTCCATGCATGTGCCGTAGAGCTGGCTTGTCATTGGAAAGATTCCAGAAGAAAGGACTTTTTGGTGTCCTAGTCCGATCTGCGTTGCCTGCTTTTGAGGGTGCTGTACGCCAAATTCACCCCATGGAATGTGCGGCCCTGGTGGGATATGACCCCACCATCAAGCTTGGTGATTCAACCATGTTGCAACTTGCTGGTATGGGATAGATTGCCAGTCCCTTCCACTCGGCTTGGATCTTTGGACACATCGCCATGCACTTGGATCTTTTGCAGTTTGGTGTCAAAACGTTTGAACCAATTGACCATCTGAAAGCCTATAGAGTTTGGCATTTGCTGAAATGTAGGTCTGTCTGGCCGTCCCAAGCTGATTTCATGCATGGGCACCAGACTGCTCATGATCTCCAGTTGCTTCGCAGTTTGCTCATGTGCCTTTGGAGTTTTGCCTGGGTTTTGAATGGTGGACAGCACCAAGATCTGTCATGTGCCTTGCTGCGGCCTTGCATCAGCTCCGAGAAGGGCCCTTGCCTCCTGTTGCGAGTATCCGTGACACCATTGGCCTTATTCCTGGTATGGTTGTTCCGGAAGCCAACGCTGATGAGGATGAACATCCCTTGAGCCAGGTCCATGATGGCAGCTCAGTTGTAGCCTTTCCAGTTTCCCATGATGCGACAGTCGCGGATGTAGGTTTGGCTGAGGGTAGACTCATGGGTTGGTCTGGAGTTTGCATCAGACACCTTGAACCGCTTGGTGCCATTCAGCCTGAGGACCGTGTCGGGGGCAGTGTCCTCTCTGTCATGCCTGCTGAACAACTTCCACGGAATGATGACACAAATGCCAATTGGTGTTTCATACCCGTTCCTGTGCATGATAAATTGTAACGCAGGAAGATATGGAATTCGAGAGTGAATCT